CCATGGCAGCTGTGCTCCGCTGGCCCTGGGGCTCTTTGGTGTGGGGTGGCAGCCTGCTGGGTGCTGGATAAAGGAGCCATGGAGAAATACAGCAGAATAGGGGCTGGGGACTGGCTCTGGGGAGCAGGAGCCCCACTGCCAGCATGCAGGCAGGGGCTGCTTTGCTTTTTGAAGGCAGGAGCAGCAACAGGCCCTGGGGCAGACTAGTGCTGGGTGCACCCAATGAAAGGGCCTTCCCCAGCTGCTGTCTGGGATGCAGGTGTCCCTGCAGAGAGCATTTCAGCTACACACGGGGCAATGGGGGAGCTGCAGGGATGGGAACAAGCTCCCAGCCCAACAGCTCCCTCCCCGGAGGCAGTCGCCGAGATGCAGAATTAACCTTCCTGTTGCAATTAATACACGTGGTCTAACAGGTGGCAACGAGCAGGGTGTTGGGGTGTACGCACACACATGCACACACGCAGGTGTATGTGTGCAATGGATGCAACTGCTGCCTCCCTCCCAGGCAGGCTGCCCGCAGCCCGCCGTGCCCCCTCCTCACTGCCGCATTGCACCCTGACCCCTCACCCACCTCACTCTCTCCGTCCTCCCCAGGCAGGATGCAAGTCCGGGGCCTCCTCCTCCTCCTCCTGGCGCTGATCCTGCTGGCTGCCACTGCCGAGGCTGGCAAGAACAAGAAAGGTGAGGGGCAGCCCTGTGTGGGGGGCCAGTGGGGCAGCCTGGGGTGTGCTCCCGTGCCCCTGTAGCAAGCACCCGCTCCCTCTTCCCTTGCAGAGAAGGTGAAGAAGGATGGCTCTGAGTGCGAGGACTGGCGCTGGGGACCCTGTGTCCCCAACAGCAAGGACTGCGGCCTGGGCTACCGCGAGGGAGCTTGCAAAGATGAGAGTAAGAAGCTCAAGTGCAAGATCCCCTGCAACTGGAAGAAGAAGTTTGGAGGTGGGTGCATGGCAGCAGGGTGGCTGGGGACCACCCAGGGCTGGGTGGCTGGGGCTGGTGCCCATGCCAGGTCTGGGCCAGCTTTGACACCTCCCCCGCTCTCTTCCAGCTGACTGCAAGTACAAATTTGAGAGCTGGGGGGCGTGTAGTGCTCAGACAGGCGTGAAGACTCGCTCAGGCATCCTGAAGAAAGCGCTATACAATGCCCAGTGTGAGGAGATCGTCTATGTGACCAAGCCCTGCTCTTCCAAGATCAAGTCGAAGTCCAAAGGTCAGTCCCCACCACTCCTGTCCCTGGAAGGGTCCTACTGGGACCACAGGCAGGGGCTTTCCAGAGGTAGCATGGCCCATTGGGGCTGGGCTTTGCTGGTGGTGTGGGGGATCATGTAGGATGCTTTTCCCTTTGCATCAGTGCATGTGACAGCCACAAAGTCCAGCTGCTGGCTGGGTGGGATGCAGGTGCTGCTAGGAAAAACCCTGGTCCCCCACAAGTCACCATCAGCTTTGATGGGACAGGGATTTCCCCCTCTCCTCAGTGGGGCTGGTGCAAAACATGGCTTTGCATGGTGGGTGCAGACTGCCTGGAGGGATGCAGCCCCTGCGCTCTGCCAAGCCGTTTGTGCTGGCTCCATTTTTGCCACGGCGGTGCCTGGGGTATCAGCAAGCTGCCAGTGGACTCACTAACTCTTGTCTCCTCTGCTTCTTGGATGCAGCAAAGAAGGGCAAGGGGAAGGACTAGAGCGGGAAGCCAGCATCCTCATCGGCCCCTTGATATGGTGCCCACAGGGCTGGACGCCCAGCTGCAGCCGGCCCATGCTCCAGTCTTCCTCCTCCTCTCCTTCCTTCTTCCATGACCTCCTCTTTCACTGAGATGCCTTGTTTTAACCGCTAGTGTTATAGAGAGCAAACCCACCTGCCCTGCAGGAGGGGCTGCCCCCCTCCCTGCTGCCCTGCCGCCATTTCCCACTTGCATCCTCTCGGCTGGTGTCGGGTTCACTGTGATGTGCCTGGAGAGCTGGGATGGGAACACACATTTTTCCACCTGCTGGCACAAATGAGTTGCCTTTAGTGCATCTTTTAGCAAGCCTGGAGCCACCTTGCTCCTCTGCCGGGTGCTAGTGCTGGAGGGAAAGGCTGGGTGTGGAATACCCGAGTAACCCCATCACTCATGCCCCTTACTCACATGAGGACTGCTCTGAGCTCGGGGGGCTTCTTCCAGCATTCCTTCGGCCAGGGCACAACTCCCCTGCAGCAGCCAGGGAATACAAAGCCACCACTCCCAGGAACCACCGTGTCCCCTCTCCTCCATCACGTCTAACCATGCGTGTCCATGCTGGGGCTGCAGCCCCTCTGCCTTCGATGCACCAACACTGATGCTGGGTGGGAGCTCTCATTTCTTTTGGAAAATGGGGTTTGTTTTCTTTTCCAATAAAAATCTTTTTAAAAAAACCCATTGGAACACACCTGTCATCCCCAAGAGGTGCTGTTGGGCTGGAAACCCCAGCAAACCCCGGCTTTGCCAACACCACTGGGACCAGTGGTGAAGTCACCATGTGGCTGGCAGCAGTGGCCTGGCTGCCACATGCAGATGGTCCTGGAGAAGAACATGGGTCAGACCTCATGGCCTCTTCTCAGCGGTGCTTTGGGCTGCCCTGCCTCGATCTTGACAGGAGAGATGGGGCTGCCACCCACCCACACATTGCAGGAAATGTCACTGGGAAGATGGGGAGGAGCAACCAGGTGATGACCCATTCACTCCAAGCCATGGCCATTAGTTTCTTGTCTGAGGTCTTTATTTGTCTCGGGGAGGATTGGGCTACGGTCGTAACAGTTTAAAAAAGAAAACACAAAAGCCAGCCAGGTATTTTGGGCACCGCTATGTGAATAATCTTAAAGGCAGTGGCGGGGGG